GCCCTGGGGCTGCCCCTGGTCCCAAGGGTGCCGGGGGCGGCGGCCCTGCAGCCCCGTTCCTGGGCCTGCTCCCGGTGCTGGAGGGGGTGCGCCCACCCTCGCTGCAGTGCGCTGCCTGGGGCCCTCAGACACCCCCAGAGCGCCAAGTCCGGCGGGACGGCGGGCTGGTGACGAAGGCCGGTGTTGCTCTTCAGAAACAGCCGGGTGAAGATAACAGGGGCAGTTTTCATCTTGGGCCCGGCTAAGCGAGCATCTTCCTTCGGTTCTTCCTTGCCGGTGTTTCACTCATCCACGTCGCTGGCCCATCTCGGGGGGAGGCAGGGTGGGCATAGCTCGTACCCACCTCTGCCTTCCCTCCGCTCCCCAGGGTTAGGAATCTGCCAGTTCCTGGTTGCTCATGGAAAACTAATAATGAAATTGTAATGTGGTGGGGGCTTGTAAGTCCCTGTTTTTTTTGTCTGTGTTCCAATTGCTAACTGCTAACACGATTAAAGTTGCAGAAATTACAGTGAAGGTGAGGTGCAAATGTTTACTCTTTACCTGTAAATAAAGATGACAAACTCTTGTATCCTGGAACCAGTGTTTGGAGAGTAGTCTCGCTGGCTTTTATAAATGTTATCTACTTCTATGGAATTGGCAACGAGAGATGGTGACGTTAAAAGAAAGCTTGCTGTAGACCTACCCGTGTGAGAGTTTTGTAATAGCGCTGTAGCAGGTCAGTCTATTAGAAAAGTTTAACTATTGGCCAGCACCAATGGAAAATCTTAGGAACAAAAATCACAAACCGCACAAAGAATTTTTCCTATTTATTCAGGGATTTTTAATTTTTTCTTTGTATTGTGAAGCCTATTCACATCCGTGCTCAATTACTTAAGTAAATCTCGCTGCAACATGCGTTGTTTCTCTGAAAGGGCCAGAGAAGGCTCTCTGAGGAGGGGTCAGCTCTGTGGTCCCTGGTCTCTGTCAGGTGATGCCCTCTTACCGGGGCAGAGGAGACTGCCTGGGTGCTTATCCTCTGTGCAACTGCAGAAAAAGGGAGAAGAGGGCTGGGTAAGGGTAAAGAAAAATTCCAAGCATGGTGGGACTAGGGAAGAGAATACAAATTTCTCTTCTGCTGAGCTCTGCGTTCTGTCCTGCCAACACCCCTGTGCTTAGATAAGTGAAGAGAGAAAATGTTAATGGACAGTATCCTTTGTTTTAGCTTAGAGTCCAGTGCATTTCACTTCTGGCACAGAAGAGATGAGAGTGAGCTTTGAAGTTCTAATGTATCAGCTGGGGTGAAGTTCAGCTGTTCAGCTTCAGACATGTCTTGCAGGAAAAAAGGCATTTTTATGAAAACCTGCAGAAGACAGCAGTTGCACTGGGCTCCATTATCTATATATTTCTATATTCCTCTTTGATGTTACATACAGCAAGAGTCATTGCTATGTCCTGTCTATACCTATAATTTACCTTAATAGTAGCTGAGGATAATTTACTAGATTGTTTTGCTCCAAGAACTTAAAAGCTAGAGTAGCTGAAAAAGGATTGAAAGATGCTTGATCTACTTAAGTTCCACACTTGTGCAGCAAAGGTGGAGGCATAATTCCATCTACAGAAACTGGCACTGGATGGAGTGGCGGCCAGTGTGTCTCAGTCACCAAGAATGACAAGCTCTTGCAAGATAGTTGTGCTAGAGAATTTTATTTTATTTCTGTCTTAATGGGAGCGAGCTTATGGCTACAAAGACAAGCTGAAACAGTTAGTCTTGGTATTTGAAAGAAATGTCCTATATGATCCAGAAGTGTCACTGTGCGAGGGAGGTAACAGGCAATGTATACCTTTTACTGCAACACTGAAGCACTTCACTAAGGCTGCAGTTACTTTTGAAGACTCCAGGTTGGACAGGACAAGATTTTACTTCGATACTAGCTAAACTGCTGCATCTGGTACAGTCTGTCAGTCGCTGCTTTAATTTACCTGGCTTTTTCAAAGGCAAGGAAGAGTGGATTAAAGGAATCCCTTATATTTAGCCTTTGGATAAAGATCTCATTTTGTGTGGCATGTGAGCAGGTATGGCTTACAGACCGTGGTCACTCCTAGGTCACTGACAGGGATTTGGTGCAGGGCAGATGTTGAACACATCGTGAAACCCCTTCCCCCAGTGAGTGGCTCACCAACCCAGAATTTCTGTAAAGGTCAGTGCATTCTCACGGTACATTTTTGTGTCTTTTAGTGTAATCAATTTTATTTGACACTTTTTTCCAAGAAAATAACCCTATTTTCCCCTGTGTCTATTTATAACTCTTTGAAGTCTGGGCCTTTTACTGCACTATGGATCAGCTGGGGTATGTGAGAAGTGCTGCTTCAACCCAAGGTGCCAAAGAGGGATTGAGCAAGCCCTCTGCTCCCCAGAAGAATGCTTATGCGAGGCTTGTGCAAAAGCACCACAGCGGCCGATTCCGGTCCTATTTGAATCACATTGCACAGAAGATGCAGCTGGAAGACAGCAGCTCCAATGGCTCCAGCTCGGATCTGGACCTGTCCCTGAGGAGAGGCCTGGTGAAGGATAGTCCAGCCAGGGATGGGTTGGATGTGCACAGCTATTCACCGGTCAGAACATCTCACCTGGAACAGCCCATGCCTGGAGGATTTGAGACTGATAAACCCCAAACCACTCTGAACAGATGTCCCCATAAAAAAAATGCCATTGTTAGTCCAGAAGGAGACCTGGAGGTGGAGGAAGACTATTACGTACATCAGCGTGGAGCTGTAGCTGACTTGTTAAATATGAGTGATGCCCTGGGTGGGAGAGTGTCGAATGGCCTGAGACACCGTGCAGCTCTGCAGAAGTCTTCTGGTTCTGATGAAAAGGATGAGGAGGACATGTGGAGGAAGAAACATAAGAAACGAGGCAGGTGTCCTGTCAACACAGATACAGCAGCTGGACACTTGTTGACTGAGCAGTTTAGTGAGGATGTGCTGGCAGTAAATGCCAGGAAAAACAGTCACTTTTCTCCAGGTCAAGTCCAAGGTGAGTTCACACTAATGAACTGTTTGGTCCACTTGCTGCAATTACTGTGGAATTGAATGTGATGTTTTAGTCACAAGTGAGTTAACATGAGCCTGTTCTACTCCTGTCCAAGTTAGTCAATCCTTAGTTACCTGTGGGTGGCTTTGTCCTGGTTTACGAGTAAGCCATCTGGCATGTGCAGATGGCTTCCTGTGGAGCCAGTTTGGTGCTGGCAGGACCTAATCCTCTGGCCTGAACTCTGTGCATGTGGCTGTGCTGCTTTCAGGATCAGCTCGACTAGGAGAGCCCAATTTCTGTGGTGTAGTGTCCAAATTAATAAGACTGCTGGATCTGAGCTGGCTGAGGGCAGAGTCATGCTTTTCTTTGCATTGCCTCTTTCTGTCTGGAGTGTTGGTTTGCCTTTGCAGAGGGTCCAAGTCCATTTAGTACCCAGGGGCTAAGATGTCTGTATGATATCTAATTCCTGATACAGAGTGTTGACTCCAGTAGATTTGCTGTTAGTAACAAAGAGATCATATCCTGCCGTAGTAAAGTGAATGTGTCTCTTAAATGCAATATTCAAGGCAAAAAGCCTGCTTACTTAGAGAAATCAAATTTTTAATTAAAGAAACCCCCAAAACACAGCATCAACAAGCAACCAAAGCCAGGCAGTTTAAATTTGATCTTCTTCAATGTAATGGGTTAAAACTTCCTCTGAACGTTATTTATGGTGAAATACTTGGATAGCCTGATCTTACGAGCTACTACTGGAGGAGCTCATAAATGTCACCGTATTAAATTCGCTGTAACAAGTAGAAAAGAGATCTATTTCTCAGCTGGGTAAGATGGGCCTGAGGCCTATCACAATTCTTGAATTGGAAATCAAGCAAGTGTTTAACTAAATCAATCTCACAAAACTATGCCCTATCACTCAAGAGTGGCAAGTAATATGCTTTTTTCAGGTTTTATGGTATTTTTGGGGCTGTGACAGTAGATCATGTGCTAAAGTTGGTAAACTTCCATGAGTTCTTGAAAGACAGATCATAGAGATTTAACACACGCAGATTATGCTAAAGTTTGTTGATGAGCTTGATTTTTGGGAAGGGTTTTTTTTTTGCATCCTTCATTGTAACATTATTTATTATGCTAGCCTGTTATAATAGACTTTACTGCCTTTTACCCTTCAGCTTTTGGAGAGCAGGGAAGATCAGCTAATGGAGATGGAGAGTTTAGAAGGCTTACAGTTTGTAGCCATGAAAGCAATAGGTGCCTACTGGAATTTAGGCTAAAATAAAAATACCCTGGCTTTCAGAAGCAAGCACCTGCAGTTCCCTCCTGCTGTAGTTGGGAGTGGGGTTGCACAAACCCTTTGAAAACTAGTTGTTTGTTTAATGTAAAGACCTAGAGCAGAAAACATTGACCCTCATGTTTGACCTCCCAGGTGGAAAACTCACACCATGGGGAAGATTATTGGAAAATTATTTGCTTAACAGTGACATCCTTCCTCTTCTTCCCCCTGCATGCCTGCCCAGCCACCCTCCTGTGTAGATGAGAGTGTTACACTCCAGAACACTTGCAGGGACATGAAAACAGTTTCTTGGGGAGGAAAGAAATAGGAAGAAAAAATTATGTCATTTGATTGAGAGAAACGTCTTTTCTGCTGTTCAGTTTGAGTATATTTTAGCACTCTTGTTTAAGTGAAATGAAGATTTTACAGTATGCAAGCACTTAGGTATAAGAACTCACACATCACAGTACCAGATTAATATTTTCTCACTTCAAAGCTTGTCTTTCTGTCTTGAAGCTGATATAAATCATATTACTTTGCATAGGCAGGTGTCTGGTTTGATCAGTTTAAATCAAGGCTTGTGAAACTGTGATGGCAAGAATTGCTTCTGTCTTAACGGTGAGGCGTATAATCTTTTCAGTAGTGACATTTCCTCACAAATTAACTCTGCTCGGGCTGTTGTAGGCTTTCCAAAAGGCTCTTTGAGCTAATCTCAAAGCCAAGCATCTCTCTTTATATCACTTTGTTTCATTGTCCTCTTCTTAACAGCTCTCCAGCTCAGGCTTAGCCATGGTCAGGTTTGCAATGACGCTAAAACTGACGGTACTAAAATTGCAGGCCAACATGGAGGGCTGAGAAAACCCTTTGAGTGCCCTGGGGTAGGCTGTGGGACTGGTCCTTGTTAGTGTCCTTCCAGTGGCGCAGCAGTTCCTGTGGCCTTGGGGGAAGCAGAGTGGTTTGTGGAGCCCCAAGCAAGTGTCACTGAGCCCTGGAGCTCACTGCTGCTGTTGTGTGCCTGTCCGAGAAGCACTGGGGATTACCTTTGTCATTCAGCACTGTAAGGCCCCAAGACAAGGCTTGGGGGAGAGAAATAATTTCATAGCAGATAATTAAGAGACTGACCATGTCAGTCTCTTCTGGTGTTCCATATAGTAACTGCTTTTCCTAAGTATCGGAAACTGCCGCTGTGAGAACTGAGTGTGAACAAAACGCCGTTGTTCCTTGTCTGAAATGTGACGTAGTCATGAAACTGCAGGTTGGATTCACTCTATGGTATCAGCACTCTTAGATTTGGGAAGGCGAATATAGACACATCCCACAGATTGTTGCTCCTTTCTGTGTAGCTATAACCTCTGTGAAGAGAAATGCCATAAAGCCTCCTGTTCTAAAGTTTATTCTCAAACAAACCCCAGTAAGACAGAAAATAATCCTAAAATGCCATTTTAAATTGTGATGCTTATAGTTTTTCATCTAATACAATTTTCCTGCTGGTATTTTTCCCTAAATCTCCAATCCTCTGGGTTCTTTGGGTGCTAAAATTTGGCTAAATTTCCATCACAGAAAGTCTTTTATGAAGTCCCTTGGGTTGTTTTCTGGTTTTGATCAAAGGCTTTAAGGGCTTTCCCACTTCAGTCTAGAGTTAGTCATCAAAATCTCTTTTCAGACTGACTGATGTTTCTGTCATTAAAAGGGCTTAAACCCCCCTTTTCCTTGAGGAGAGAAGTACTGATTCTTTCTGCGGCATCTGTCTGTCACATGCTACTAGTAGTTGAGATTCGCATGGCCTCTAAGTGAAAATTAATCTTAAATATCTGATGCATAGTTTTATCACTAAGTAGTTTAAACCAAGCTGCATATTTTATTCAGGACAGCAAGGTTTTGGTTGCTTTTTGAGTATGTGCACTTCTCAGCCTGTTTTTGAGGGAACGTTGCTGTTTGATAGCACATTCCTGAGTCTGCTGGAAAGCCTGAAAAACAGACATCTGCAGAAGCAAACCGTCCTCCAAATGTGGAGTGCAGCACCGTCTTTGGGAACACCATCTCCTGGTCACACTTGATTTCAGAGGATCTTGGGAGCTAGAGTACCATGGAGTGAGGTGGCTTTTCTGATGCTGAGAGCCTGGATGGAGCAGGATGCTCTTCAAGGCTGATTGCTGTGAAATAGGTTCAGATTTTGCAGGGCTGGATATGCAGTGTCAGTCTGTATCCGCAAACATCCTCCTTGGAAGAGAACACCACCTCAGCTTCACTGGGTAGCCTCCTGAGGCTCTTCTCACTAAAAGCTTCACGGGTTTATGATGTGATGGAGGTATCTGTCAGGGTCAGCATGCCCCCTGAGTAGAAACAGACAATTCCTGGGTAACAACGTGCCTCATCTGAAATGGCATAAGATTTCCGTGGCCCTTTCTGATTTATCATCTGTCTGACACTTGGCATTTATTTGCCCAGTCTGTGGTACTTAACCAGCTTGGGCAGCTTCCATGGAAGAATGTTGCTGGCAAGCAGGCTGGTGCTTAGCATTGTAGCTTTAAAAACAATTGTTGCTGTTGGATGGTGGTGTTGTGTTTGTGGCTGCAACTCTGACATTTAGAAGGTTCAGGATAGGTAAAGGAAATATCCTGGAATGGCTTTCCTGCATGTTTGATGGGCACAGCTGGTCAAGAAATACTAGCCTTAACAAGATAGCAAATCTTAGGGGTTTTGTCTTTCCGTGGTACGCTGCAGTAAATTTTGTATTTGCCTTTGATTCTCTGGGGGAACTTTGGCGTAAGGACCACAGCTACTGCTTTTCCCTTCTTGTAATGCAAATTTAAGATAATGCCACTTTTCAGTGGTGAGTCTTCCAGTTCTTGTGTGGTGAAATTCAGTACTTAGGAATGCTGTTATCTCCCTATCTGGCACCAGTAAATATAAGCCAGCAATCTAGTAAAGGCCACAGAATCAGCTCAATAAATGGAGAATGTTGCTTGCTGTGGAAATCTTTAAAATGTAGCTAATCTTGCCAGGTCCAATGTAATTTTCCTTAGTTGACGTTAATCATAGTAATAAGATATGGGAGAGGAGGGAAAACTGGATTTACTGTATGGCCCCATCCGAGAAACACATGAAAAATAGAATGCTTCTTTCTCTAATAGTTTAACAACGTCATCACAAACATAAATTTCTCTCTTGCTTTTGATAGAAAAAAAATGTTGCATTCCAAAATCTTGTGCAACTAATGTTTTTGGCTAACACCAACTATAGTATGTGAGTTAATATCTGATGTATCCTCTCTTGGGAAGATGAGATCCTGCCCTTGCAGGGGCTGTGGGTTTTGTATGTGATCTAATAACCGTATTCCATGCCCTTTACCAGAGTCCCGAGCACACTGTGCTGCAGCAGGACTGAGTTCTGCAGCAGGAGCCCTTGCATTTGGTGGCAAAGCTTTCATCTCCTTTACCTACTAGTGCTCATGTGAAAATGTGTATCAGTGGAAATGCTTGTTGCCGTTAACCTGCTTTTTTTTTTTAATCTATGTTTTTTTCTTCTCTTTAGCCCCCATTATGTAGTTCAGGTAACTATGCCTGTCAGTGTGGTGTTCATCCTAGAAAAATAATAGGCTAATACAAGAACTGAAATTGTCTTTAATTAGTATTAAATATTTTTTTTTTAATGTGACTTGTCATCAATTTATGCAACAAAGGTCCTGTTGAAGTCCCTTGGTGTCATTTTATTATGAATTTAGGAGTCTGAT